GGATTTGAATGAGTCTTATGTGTATCTGTATCTATTGAAAAGATGGTATCTTTGCAAAGTATTTTATCTGGGAGATTTTTTTATGTTTAATTTCTAAATTCTTAATCTCATTTTAGTTAGGCGTTTGCACATACCTAAGAATATGTTAAATATACTTAGGTGCACCACTTACACATTTTTACATATGTGTGCATCCATGTGACTACCAACCAGATTTAGGGGACAAAAAGAGCATTCCTGTATCCCAAAAGGCTCCCTTAGGAATCGTCTTAGTCAGAATCCTGCCTTCTCTTATCCCTGACTGTTTTTCTCAAAGTTCACATATAGAATCAGCCAATATGTTTCCTTTAATAATCTGCTTCTGGGCCTCCCTGGTGACTGAAGGGTTAAGACTCAGCTCTATAAAGCTATTCACAGCCACTGCAGCATGAGATCTGTCCCTGCCAGGGAGCTGACCCACATGGCGCAGCAGACTTCTCCTGTCCCGCCTATGCTCTCCTCAGCAGTGTATTTTAGTCAACCTGCCTGTTCTGCTCCCCACTCTGTCTCTGGTGAATCCTCTCACTGCCTCCTCCTCCCGCACCTCTGGCCTGTACCCCAGTTCTTGTATGCATAAATAAATATTAAAACTTTTAAATCTTAAAAAAAGAAAGTGTCTGCTTCTTCAAGTTTTTATCATCTTACTGGTAAACCATAACCCTTCGGTTATATGTTAAACTATGTCTTTTGTTAGCTTATTTCTTTGAATCTTAAAGATTGGTTGCTATATTTTCTATTATAAAAAGTACATTCTGTGTTTTATCAGATGTTCTTTAGGGTATGGTTAAACTTTATAAAAGTTCATAATGAGGAAACGTGTGTGTGTGTCAAAAAAGAGTTCATTTGGACTCCTGGCAAATAGCGTGACCCATATCCCTGGTTTTCCTTTGTGAATTTGATCATTTGTTTTTCCAATATATTTGTTCCCTTGTGGGAACATATATGTTTGGTGGGGTATTTATATTTTACATGTAACGATTGTCATTCCACGTGCCTGTGGCTTGGGAGGTTTCTGAGTTGCAGGTCAACTAAAAGCCTGACCCATTTTTTTTTTTTTTTTCATTTGATTTGTGATACAGCAGGAATTAGTCTTCTAATCACTTATAAAGGCTAAGATATTGCTTTTGTTCTTTGAAACCTAATTAGATAACAGCCCATCATCATTTTTAAAAGTGCCTATAAGAAATGCATTTTCAACCATCTAACATGAACAAAAGACTGAAAATCCATTTGTGCTTTGAGCAGTTGATATAAAAACTGCTGAGAAAAACTCACTTAATCCATGACTTTGAGTTCAGAGCACCTGTTAATCATAAAAATTAATTCTACCTTCTGAGGGAATCTCAGCATCCTAGTTAATTTGTATAATTATTGATTTTGAATACCATTTATTTTTTTCAGTTTTATTATCCTTTGTAAATTTAGGTGTTTTCAATAACATATATAGAGATGTATTACTGATTAAAGGGACCCTAAGTGCTATTAATTCTCTTTTCATAGATAAGTTATCCAGAAACAGCAGTTGTTAGTTTTAGAGATGCTATGAAAATTTATTAAACATGAATGCTACAACTAAACTGCCAAGTCTGTGAGAAAGAAGGCTAGCTAGAGAAACGGAGTTCATTGATACTGAAGTCTGCAGAACATGAGCAAAGAACAAAGATCAGTTCTATCATTTTGTAACCCTTGCTGGAGGGAAAGTAAGAAGAAATTCTCCTGGACCTTGAAGTTATGATTACTTATGGTCAGTGATCAAGGAAATTGATAATTAAATCTCTACTTTCTTTTATTTTATGGAATTCAGTGACTTAAGTGAGATGTCAGCCCTTGTTCAAGCAATCACTGTACCTAAATAGATTATCAACAAATTTATACTCTGTCTACTTACTCAGTGACTTAATGTATCCTACTATACATTTTCAGGCACTGGACATATAGATCTTTTTTTAAAGATTTCCTTTTATTTATTTATGTATATAAGAACCAAGGTATAGGTGGAATTGGGGAGGTGAGAAGCTTCACCAGAGATCTACTGATATACACTGCTGAGGGGAGCAGCAAGTGAGACAGGAGAGGTCTGTTACATCATACATGGGTTAACTCCCTGGCCAGGATTTGAACTCAGGCCATTGTGGTGATAGTGCTGAGACTTAACCCCTGGGCCATTGGGGAAGCCCCCTTGCACATATTTTTTATTTTTAAACAATAGCTTATTTTTACATCATTTGGTGCCTTTTTCCCTCTCAGTTGTAATCCCTGTGGGCTTCCTATTCCCCCCCCCCCTTTGATTCCATTCCTCACTCTGTCCCTGCAAAATGTCTCTGGTATATAGTTGTTCATTATTACTTTCCCCCCAATCCTTTATGCTTCTGCTATGAGTGAAACCATCTGGTATTTTTCTTTTTCTTTCTGGCTTATTTCACTAAGCACAATCCCTTCTAGCTCCATTTTTACTATTGCAAAAGTCATGAGTTTATTTTTTTGTTTGCTAAGTAATATTCCTTATGTATATATGTACCACATCTTTTTTAATCCAGTCATCTACGTTGGGGCATTTGGGTTGTTTCCATGACTTTCCAGTTGTAAATAAAGCAGCAGTAAACATGAGGGTGCAGGTGTCTTTTTGAATCAGTGTTTTTGTGTCTTTTGGGTAGATACCTAGGAGTGGGATTGCTGGGTCATAGGGAAGCTCCATATTTAGCAGTTTGAGGAACCTCCAAACAGTTTTCCATAGTGGTTGTACTAGTTTGCATTCCCACCAGCAGTGCAGGAGAGTCCCTTTTTCTCCACATCCTCGCCAACATTTGTTGTTGCTAGTTGTTTTAAGATGTGCCATTCTCACTGGTGTGAGGTGGTATCTCATATAGAGGTTTAATTTGCATCTCCCTTATTACAAGTGATGTTGAAATTTTTTCATGTACTTGTTGGCCATCTGCATTTCCTCTTTGGAGAAGTGTCTTTTTAGCTCTTCTGCCCATTTTTTGATGGGGTTGTTTATTTTTGTTCACTTTCATCAGTTCTTTGTATATCTTTGTGATCAATCCTTTATCGCTAGTATTGTGTGAGAAAATTTTTTCCCAATCAGTGGGATGTCTGTTTTTTGTAATGCCTTTTGCTGTGCAGAAGCTCTTTATCTTGATGTAGTTCCATCTGTTTATCTTTTTCTTCACTATCGTTGCATGGGGTGCTTTATCTTCAAAGATGTTACTTCGGTATATGTTGTGTAGTGTTTTGCCCATCTTTGCTTCTAGGTATTTTATGGTTTCCATTTTTATGTCTAGGTCTTTAATCCATTTCAAGTTGATTTTTGTGTATGGTGCGAGGTAGTGACCTAGTTTCATTTTTTTTTGCATGTAGCTGCACATATTTTTAATGCATATACTTTGCTAATAATTTTTTTCTTTTCAATAGATGTAAGTTGATATTTGAGGTCCATTTATGCCCTTGTACTAGTAGGGAGCTGTCCACTATCCCTTACCAGATTAGTGATCATTTAATAAGCTGTATTTTAAAGAGATGTGTTCTCACATAGAAGTGACAGAATTTCCATTTGGGACTTTATTTGTGACATTTTAAATATTAAGAGGTACTGTGTGTAAAAAATATAATGCTTGGCTTTCTTGTTAGCAATTTTGAACAAACTAATTCTCCCTTGGCAAGGATTTGATTACCTTGCCAACTAAATCTTTTCCATACCTACATGCTTATTTGGATGCAGACAAAGTTTTGGGTCCTATTTTATTCACTACTTTTGTTGGTTGGGAAATGCTTTCTAAATAACCTATGCCCAAGGTACTTTTGCCGAAAGCCAATTATACTAACCTAATCTATCTTTTATTAAAATTACTCTTTAAATCATTCTACCTTGCAATATATAGGAAACCTATAGCAGCCTGTTTCAAGCTAACAAATTCATCTATTGGTTTTAAAAAACCTCAACGAGAGTTTCCTGGTGGCACAGGTGTGAAGTCTCAGCACTATCAAGCTATTGCAGCCACTGCAGTATGAGTTTGATCCCAGTCAGGGAGCTAGCTCACATGGCACAACAGACCTCTCACATCTCACACACTGCTCCCCACTCTCTTTCTTTGGGGGATCCTCATGGCCCCTGTACCTCTGGCATATACCCCAGTTCTTGTAAGTATAAATTAATTAAAAAAAAAACACCTTTTAAAAAAAATTTCAACCAGGGCCCTCCCTGGTGGCGCAGCGGGTTAAAGCACTGCACTAAGAAGCTTAAGCCAACTCCACATGAGTTCAATCCCCGCCTGCCCCGGAGGAGATCCACATGGCGAGGCAGAACTCTCCTGACCCTCCCGCTGCTCCCCTCAGCAGTGTACTTCGTCGATCTGCCTGTTCTGCTCCCCACTCTGTCCCTGGTGAATCCTCTCACCCTCCGCATCTCTGGCCTGTACCCCAGTTCTGTATGAATAAATAAATCTTAAAAAAAATTTTTTTTTCAACCAAATTATGATTTTAACATGGATATATAATTTTGCCTGTTCAGCACAGAGTTGTAAATTATTTTCCTACCCTCACTCTGGAGTTTTTTCTTTCCTTATCTTATTCTTAGTATATCCTTTTTTAATTCTAACCTGAGAAAAATTTTCTTCATCCTCTGTACATTATCTCTTTATCCCGGATCAAACCAGCCATGGGTGATAGCTAAAGTGACCTAAGTATTTTTAACCAAAAGCATGGTGAAATATACTGGGTTTCTAGTTTAATGTTTTGGTGTGCTGGATCTTCACAATTAGGTTACTATAGAAAATGAATGCATTTTTATAAGTACACACTTTTAAAGGTATATCAGCATTTTCTAAAGCAAAAAATGTCATTCATATACTTAAAATATGACATTAGAGATATAATTGTCAGTTAAATGCATTATGCATTTTAATTTAGGCTATTAATTAATGTAGCAAATTTGCTTTTCTGGCTGATTCTCTTTTTTTCTTTAGTTTCATGCTATGGATACCTTGTACAGACACAGTTATGATTTAAGCAGTGCTATCAGTGTCTTAGTACCCCTTGGAGGACCTGTCTTATGCAGAGATGAAATGGAAGAATGGTCAGCCTCTGAAGCTAGTTTATTTGAAGAGGCACTGGAAAAGTATGGCAAAGACTTCAACGATATACGTCAAGACTTTGTAAGTAGAAAATTATGAGTAAAATAAAATGTTGGGGTGAGAATATTTTATCTGTTTTAGTAATCTAGTAAACCTCAGAGTGTTCATTTAACAAGTCTGACTTTCAGTAATTTCATCTGCTCAACATAGACTGGAGGCAGTCCAATGGAAGGCGGACTTGGTATTTGTTTGGGAAGTGGGTGTGAGTAAGGCTCAAGGTCAGGATCTCTAAGTTCATACTCTAAACCTGACCAGTATGAATTCATCCTCTCCACCTCTTTCTGAGTTCAAGGTCTAAAACGGGCTTAGCTCTTCTGACCATTTGCACTAAATATTTCTAAGTTCTGTTGTTTAAGCTTATTGCTCTGCTTTAGGCTTCTAATATTTTTCTTGATCCCTTATGAACCATTGCGCCTCAATATAATGTGGACCTTTGTCATTGAAAGATGCAAAGTAGAGTATGAGAACTAGCTTCATGAGATTTTGATCTTTAACACCTCTCATTGATGTGCAGTACCTTACTTGCATTTTAAATACTAGATTATTATGTACTTCCTTTTGCCTTTTTTTATGTTATATGCCTGTTATATATTAATACATAATATGTAGTCTTCATTGTGTATTACTATTTGAGTTCAAGCCCGTTTTAGACCTTGAACTCAGAAAGAGGTGGAGAGGATGAATTCATACTGGTCAGGTTTAGAGTCTGAACTTAGAGATCCTGACCTGGAGAAGTTTCTATTTGATAATTCTTGAAATATCTTTTGATAGTAGTCATTCATTTTTAGTTAAAGTAGAATTTTTTATAGAATTGAAGCATTTGATTTAAACTATTATATCCTATCTCTTAAGTTGTTGCACTTTAAAAATTATTTCTGAAATAAAATTATTACTTATCAATATGAATTGATACATGAAATCCCAGACATAATTGAAGCTGTTGGTATCAGTGACATTTTTACTAATGGAAAAATTTCATTCATGTTTAGATTGTTAGATCTTTTCATTTAGGTTTACATTAACTTATAATGTAAAATGCATTGGCATTTAGCTTCAGAGGGTCAGAAGAGCATACCAGTGTTATTAATATAGTGATTATTAATATTACATAGCCCTACCATTAGATAGAAACTGTGAAAACAAAACCCTCAGAAGAATATAATCTGCAGGTCATATAAAGCAGTCTCAGGTAAGAAACACTGAGATGAGACTACTTTTCCTTGCACTGAGCGCGGCATGCTCATTTTATCTTCCAGGAACATAAAACTGTTCAGTTCAACATCTGTTTATTGAGCGCCTGCAACATGCCAGGCCCTCAACACTAGCTAAAGCAGGTGTTAGGCACATACCAGAAATCTTAACCAGGAGCTCACCTGTAGAGAATGAGTTCATTGTCAAGACCAAGATACTGAAATACATTCGCCCAAGTGAAATATCATGTAATCCTGACAGATATTACGGGGATATTAGAAAGGAAACTACTAGCTGTGCCAGTCAATTCAGGAAGGGCTCCCAGGTGTTTCAGCTGCATCTGTGATAATAAAGGGAGAAAGCAGTAGACACACGTGTTTATGCATCCTTTGACCCAGCATTGGTTTGACTGGGGAGAGACCGATAGCCATAGTGAAGACAGTCCTACTCACCTAATGAAAACATCCTTTCTAGTGGGAGCTCACCCCATACTGCCGTTCCCCACAAGCCATTTTCCAAAACCTCAGAGTTAGAAATCCTTTAATCTGACTCCTTGTATGTTTTCATCCTGATCACTGTGACCATTCAATAAGCACCATGGTTATGGATCAGTGCCTCTGGCCAGCTCTTCTACTCTTAGTAGACAACCAGATGTTCACCCTAATGTTCTGCCCTCCACAAGCATCTCCCTTCTTCACTATGTTCAAAGCCACTCCAGCTTGGGGCTGATAGGCCATGGCAGTATAACTCTGCTTAGTGCCAATGTATCATACAATGCCATCTGCCATAGTAGAATTTTTCCTCACTAATAGACATGTGACAGGGAACTCCCATGAAGCTATGAATGACAGTAGAGGAGAAATGATGCTGCCATGACAGTAGTACACTTGGGTGTGTTATGCCTCCTCCTTGACTTTCATGACTCCTTGATAAGAACGGTGCTGCTGAGAGCACAGCTGATTCAGACGTGTTGGTTTAGGTAAAATCTGGCTCACAGTGAGACTCAGGTTGCAGAGTCATTTGGTTTTCTTTTCTCTGCCTTCTGTGCAATTGCATACCAGGGGCTATTTCTCAGAAGAGGAATACTTTGGAGCTGAAGCAGCTTAGCGTGCTTAAAGTGCTAGGGCACCATGCCAGTGACTGTCCTGTGAGCTCTCACCATCCAGGCACCTAGTATCATCCCTCAGACATTTTGGACTCCATTAGCTTGCTTGTCAGATTAGGGACAATCTGTATTCACTGCAACTGTAATGCAAATGCCAGGGACTGCTGATTTTGTCCAGCACGGAGACCGCACTGTAAGCATTGTTGGAGTCGCAACCTAATTAAACTTAAGATAATTTCCTTTCTTTAAACTCCTTCTGTTTATTCTTTAGACCAAGTAAGTGGGCTAATTATGGAGGTCAAAGGGACAGCGTAGAGTTTCCCTAACTGTTCTGGGAAGCACTGTTTGAACTCCCTAATCCTCATAATAGTGTATTTGGGGAAGTTTGGTGGGAGACAGAGAGAGTGATGAATGCGTCACTGTCTGTATAATCCACCACAGTAGCTATGTATCATTAGTCATTTTGTATGGAGACTTGACTTGTATGACCAGCATCTTGTATGACCAGCTTCTCCCTTTACAGAGGAACGTAATGAATATATTCTTTGATTGTGGGTCTCAGTAGTTCATTGGACCACTTTTGGATAATTATGGCAAATAGCAAAAGCAAGCTTCCCACTTTTCTAATATGAACCACACTTTTCAGAGATTTAGGTTTTTACTTATAACAAAGCAAGTAAAAATAGAGCAGGAAATATAGCAGAGATGTAATGACATCCAGTTGTAGCTAGTATCTTTGGAAATTAAGCAGTTTAGGCTAAATCAATTTAAATATCCTTTCTAAAAATTGCACCTCAACACCACCTCTAGCCCAAGAACAACTTTCCTAAGTCATGAAATACTGTCAGTCATTATGTTTATATGGTGTGTTGTATTCAAATCTCTAACTTGTTCAGAGTACCCTTTGCTAAAAATTGTCTTAAATTTCTTCTAACGTTTCTTCTGGAATGAATCTTCAATGCCTTATTTTAAAGAAGTGGTTTTAAAAGAAAGCAGTTTATACAGTAGCTTGTTTTCAATATGCTAAATATCTTTTTCAGCTCCCTTGGAAATCTTTGACTAGCATCATTGAATATTACTACATGTGGAAAACTACTGACAGATATGTACAGCAGGTAATTGCTTTCAGACTGTGACCAATATGATTGCATTTAATGAACTTTGTTTATTTTAATATTAACAGTGTACTTGGTTTGTTTTGCTTGCTTTATCTGTTTTAGACTATTTTAAACTGCATGATATCATACCCTTTAAACATTATGCTAAGATTCTAGTCGTGACAATCTACTTCAGAATTCATTATGACAGATACGTTAGAAAAACGACAGGGAAAGCGACCACTTTACTTTCCTCGCAGGTAGCCGGTGCCTCTTTGGAGAATGAGAAAAGTTGACTGGAATAACCGAAGCTATGATGCTTGCGCATTCTTTTAAGCAAGTTATTTTTATGAACTATTGAAAATTTAGACCAGTGCCATCAACCATACAATCTGAGTTATTCTGAAACACCTAAAAATCCTTTGTGTACATTTGTTTGGATATGTCCCCAAGCCTTTGATCTTAACTGCAGTAGTTAATCTTACCAGTTTGATCCTTTGGTGCTATACATACATTTTTCCACAGAATTATTTCTAAGTGGAGGGAGCTATTTACTTTTGTTTCTGAAATGTCCCAAATTCAGATTTTTATCTGAGTAGTATTACTTTTGGAGAAAGGTACATTTTGCTGATATGACCTCTCAGTCAGCACTTGTTTTCATATCCTTCTGGTCATGTCAGAACTGGTAAGGAATGGGGCAAAGATGTTTAACAAGATATTATTTTTCCTAAATATGTGATTAGCTTTGGATACTATAAAAATATACTTTGAGGATTACTTTAAAATTACTGTCATGTGTTACTGAGATGAATAGTGAATAAGATATCCAGGGCTTGTTGAATAATTTCTGGTGTCAGTGTCTTATAGCTCAAAAGGTGCTTATTTCAAACGGAAGCTGTATATGCTGGAAACCTGTTTTATTCAAAGCAGTGTAAAGGAGGCTCTAAAGATGATTGAAGTGATGGTATCAGGGATAGTTTCATAGTGTGTGCATAAAATTATTCAGATTTCATTTCTGTCTTTAAAGTTTTAAGTTGTTCTCTTTAATGTTTGTTTTGTTCTCGTTGAGGAAATGAAGAGCTGCTTTATATTCTGGTTCGGCTTAGTTTTGGTTATCTACGATATATTATTTTCCTTCTCTATTTGCGTTCATTATTATACACTCTGTGGATTCAGCATGAGAGGTGTGTGTGTGTGTGTGTGTCTGTGTGTCTGTGTGTAGAAATTTTCCCATCCCATTCCTTGCATTTGACTCCTGTTTCTAAAATATGATGTGAGTTCGGGCAAGCTTTAAAATTTACAGCTTACCTCCCACCCACTTGAAGGTAATGCTTATTTAATTGTACTTAGAGTAGTTATTGCTTCCTTTGAATGGATTTTAGAAAATAACCATCTCTGAATATTTTTTCCAAAGAAAAGATTGTAGGTTTTCCCCCCGCAGAAAGGAAAGAAATAAAGTAGAAACTAAATATGAAAGGTGAAAATGGTTACTTAGAAGTCCTGTGGATTCACTCACAGAGGAATGGGAAATAAGTTGTTCTTGGTTTAATTTTTTAAATGCTTGTGTTCAGATGTTTTTGCTGCCTGTATATACCTCAGATTCTAGTGACTTTGCTTACAATTTGCTCCAATTTGAGAATATGCGTGTAAATGAAAAACCAATCTTAAAATGGTAATTTTTGAATTAAGCTTTAATATTCCACTTTGTTGTGATTTTTTTTTTCTTAAAGACTAGGTTATAATAATTATTAAGCATTGCATGTAAAATGTCTTATCTATCTTTTGAATTAGAAACGTCTAAAAGCAGCAGAAGCCGAGAGTAAGCTGAAACAAGTGTATATCCCAACTTAGTAAGTAATGGAGATATTTTAAAATACTTGTTATGGTGTTAATGCTGTCAATACAAAATACATCATGTTGGTCAGTTTGGGAAAAATTTCTTATCCTCAAAGCATGTCTCATTGTACCGCTAAAATGGTTTTTTTAGAAAGAAAACGGCTGGTGAGACAAACCCCTTGATGTGAGGTAGACACACCAAGAGCAGCAGGGAGGGTGCTTGTTCTGTTCTCCCATCAAATTCAGGGAAAGTCTATAGTTTGAAGCAAATGTGTTTCAGAAAGCTAACAACCTCTGAAGTTTCTGGTGTAGAATGGGTTTTATTTGGGTAATATACATTGCTTGGGAGAAAGGCTAGGAAAGGTAATCAGGACCATATTTTTGTAAAATTTGGAGAAATAAAGGCATTTGATTGTTTTAGTGCCTAGCCTCTGGCAGATAGCATCCTTGGGTGATATGATGGATTTTTAGAAATCATTGTCCTAGCCAAACGAATGCCTATTTTCTTTTGTTTGCTCTGTTTTAATTTTAGTATAGGTGCTGCCAAAGCAAGCACTGCTTGCTGTTTTAAATTAGTCGTAATGTTTTCTTTAGATCTTTAAGAGCTCTGTTGTTCCTTTGCTTGAGAAAATTTTGTTTATTGAGCACCAGGCATTTAGTGCTATCAGAGGGTCTTTGGGAATTAAAATGAATTTTAGTACAGAGTTCAGTGTCCCAAGATTTTTCCTTACTCAGAGTTCAGTACAGTTGTTCTATGTTCTAGCATTTTTATTGAATTTTGATAAGTTTATACATATTTTACATATAATATTCTTTATTCATAGATAATGAGTTGTGGTATATCTTTTAATCTTTTACCTCAAGCAGATAACTATAGCTTAATTTTAAAAACCTGTAATTTACAGAGACCATAATTTTTTTATTACAAAGTTTATTTTTACATCATTTTGCACATTTTTTTTTCCATCACCAGATCACCCCTGTGCCACCACCCTAGTCCCATGCATTCCCCTCCCCCCCGTTTTTGATCAGAGACCATAATTTTTAACTCAGCATTATAATGTCTCTTCTGCAGAGTGGTTTCTGATATTTTAGAAAATTATAAATTTTATTTGACTAGTTTATAAAAGAGCCATTCCCTCCAGAAAGCACTGTTGTGATCCACATGCCTTAGACTTTCAGAAGCAAGCACACCAACTTTCTTAAACGTAGCAGTGTGTCACAGCAGAGGAGAAATATGTTGAACCAGTTTTGAACAACTACCCCAGATAATTATTTCTGTTCTCCTTGCATTGATTTCGGAGTTTTGATCTAAGTCAAAGACCAACAAGTGGTCGTCTCCAGGCCACATCTGACTGTGACCTGTTTTGTGATCCCCGGTTGGCTGGAACGTGGTGGCCACAGTTTGCTTTGTGCTGCAGTGATAGAGTCCAGTTGCAGCAGAAATTACAATATCCACAAAGGTTACTATGCCAACCCCTGATTTAAGTGAATGGCTAGAGACCAAGACAGAGTTTCTAATCGTGCTTTTAAAAAGTCACATAAGCCTGTACACATGTAGAAAAGATGAAGCTGCATTCCTAAGTTGCTAAGGATCTGAGCCCTCTGAAGAGTTTCCCATCGGATGTGAAATAAATGAAAGATTTTACAACAAATAATAGATCAAGAATTATTTTCGTTTGAGCCTGGCAGCCTCCTATATGCAGAGCTTCCTGTTAGTGCTAGAGTTAGGAAGACTCTGGAGACGGGCGGGTTGTCTTCTGCAGCCTACACTTCCCTGCGGGAGATAGATGCCAGACAGCTAGCACCCAGTGTGATGAGGACTACAGTTAAGAAGAATAACTTTTTTTCCTTTAATTTATTTTTGAATAGAAGAACTGAGGTGTGGGCCAGAGGTATGGGGTGGGATATATGTGAGTGTGAGATAACCCACCAGAGACAGGGTGGGGTCTGCTGAAACAGGGGAGCTGGAGAGCACTGGCGAGACAGGAGGGGTCTGCCTGTGGGTCAGCTCCCTGGCGGGCAGTAGAACCCAGGCCTCAGTGCTGATGGTGCTGAGTGAGACCCAGCTATTGACCACCAGGTAGGCCCAAGAGGAATAACTTAGGAGAACTTACACTGAGGGACCAGACTCAGTACTATCTGGAAGATTCTAGAGAAGGATGAGGAGGAGTTAAGTCTGTGGTAGATCCCAGACCTATGGGATCATGAGATAAGAAGGGACAGAATATATTTGAGGAGCTGAGGAAAAGGTGAAGGGGTCTGGTAGGGTAGTGGGCAAGAGCCAGGAGATTACCCCATCTGGTAAGCAGGAGAAACGGATTTTTAAGCAAGGAAGTGCCATGATCAAACTAGTACTTTAGTACCTACGACTGTACTTTGCTGTGGAAATGGTCTGGAGAAGGGGAGAGGGAAAGTGGACGTAAGGACTAGGAGGTTCTTGGGGAGGAGTGATGGTGGGAGCGAGACAGAGTCGTGGCCCTGGGCATGGTGTGCTGTTGGTGGTGATTGACTCAGGTTCCTGGCTGGCATGGGTAGATGGGCTGCTAGGCTAAGAAACTGACAGAGAACCAGGTCATGTCATTTTGTGTTTGCACTATTCAAAAGGTTATATGTTAAATGTGCTGCCGAATATATTAGCCCTAAACTCAGGGATGAGCTTAGGCGAGAATAACAAATTTAAGTTTCTCATCAGCGATTAATACTGATTTTGAAACTATGGAAGAAATTTCTTGGGGAGTGCTTTAGGAAAAAGGCTCTTGGATCAAGCCTTGAATAAATCAGTGCTATATTAGAGAGAATATGGTAGCTAAAAAAGAATCTGGAGGTGAGTGCATTCTCACAAAAGCTGAGAGGAATGTGTTTCAAAGAGAGAAAGAGCTTAACAGTGTCATTGTGCTTAGTAGTGCTGGTAAGACATTGCCAAGAACTTCAGCAACATATGGAGGTCTTTGTTGATCCTTAATGTAGTGGTGAGGATTACGTATGAGCTGAGGAAGTACAGACAGTTCTCAAGAAAGCCATCTGGAAAGGGCAGTTGAGCGAGTTGGGGCTTGGGGCTGGGGGGGTGATAGGACAGAGCAGTGAGAGAAATGTTTATACGATAATCAGAAGATTCCAGGATCAAGAGGGGTTGGAGAGTGAATCTGGACCACTGGTGAGAGGAGGGATGATTTGGGCATAAGGTGAAAGTGAGAGCAGTTCCCTATGATGCGGCTTTGGAAGCATGTTTTCAAGTGTTTGTGTTACAGTGCGTGTCTATTCAGATGGTCATATTGACATCAGTCACTGATCCCCCGAGCATCTGTAGGTACTTAGTTTTCACAGCACATTTTAAATCTATAGTCAGTCTTTACACGTTTTCCTTTTATGATACTTAAAATTAAGACTCGTGGGTTAGTAAATAAAAGGATAATACAGATTCAGTTGAATAACTAAATTTGTGGGGGTTTTTTTCCGGTAACTCTACTGTAAATTTGTATCAGCTCCTTTTCAGTATTTATATTTAGCCTTTAGTTTAACAAATAATTTTTATATTTCTAGGGAGCCTTCTGACATTTTATCAGTCATTTGATTTCAAGGATCCACCACTTATATGCAGTAAATTTTTTAAAAATAGGAATATTTTTAAAAATAAGGAATATTAATTATTATATACTCTTGGAAATCTTGGATAGTCTAAACCACTACTTTTAATTTGTGGGATGTTTTGTTGTTGTTGTTGTTGTTGTTACTGAAAACTGTAAATAGTTCTGCCTTGTTTAAAATGTGTTTTTAATACCAATCTTCAAAAATACATTGCTGGCTAAAGTGTAAATAATACCCATTTGTAGAATAGGGACCTCAGTGCTCACGGGGGTTAAACGATTCTTTCCCGGTTGGTGACTAGGTGTCACCTCTGAGCCAGGGCAGTGGTGTTAGTACGAAACCTTAATTTGTCATCAAGTCAGATGACAGTAAACAGAACTGTGAGAAGGGGAAGCAGCAAAGAAGGAAACACTGAGTGGCTTTGTTGAAGCTCAAGTGATTTCGTAGTTGAGAACTCAGATTCGTCTGAACTGCACAGGGTAGTCTGCATTCAGTCCATCGGTGCTGATTTCCAATAAATAATCTGCTAATTTATTTTGCTTACTTTGTCTCTAGCAGTAGCCATGAAAGCTCCGCTAGAATGAAAGCTCCTGAGGTCAGGCACCTTTGTTTACTCTAGGCACTGGAAAAGTACATGGTAAGGGAAGAGGAGCAGGGAGTTCATTGAGGACGAGCGGTGTGTCCTGTGTAGTGTCAATGGCTGTTCCTCAGTGAGTGAGTGTCCTAGATGAGGAGGGCAGCCGTGTCCCCACATTAGTATGTAGAAACTGAGGTGCATGTTTCTGAAGAATCATGGCTCTGGGAAATTTTAATAGGTGTTCCTTTTGTCCTCCAAAACTTTTATATTCTGAATGAAAATCCTCAAAATAACATTTACTAGTTTTTGTACGTTCAGATGCTGTGTATAGTCTTCATACACATTTGTGGTAATAGAGATCATGGTGAGCAGTTAATCTCCTGAGATGTTCGGGTCCCTCTGTTGGGTTGGTCACACGCAGTGTCTCTCTGCCGTGTGCCTCTTGGGCAGCTGCCTCCAGGGCCAGGGGGTAGAGCCAGCGGTCCTCAGCCAGCAGCAGGAACGGGGGCGTGGCTGTCTCTGAACAGAGCACACTCACTGCCTTTGGCTTAATTTGATCCAAAAAATCATTTTCTCAGGAGAATTTGTGATAAGTGATAAAGCTTAATAACGTGTATCTTTCAAAAATATCAGAATATTTTTAAGGAAATTATATTTGGATGGGGAAGAGATACGGCTGTATCTCTTGTGGGTGTCAGGCATGACACTCTGACTTGATACGGTCTTCCGTATTGAAAGGGATTTTGTTTTAAAAGGGAGAATATTAACATCATTATTTTGTCTTTTGATTAAATAAAGGAATGGTTTTTACATAGCACTGTTTCATAAAGATGGTTTGGGTTCATGTTAACGCCTTACTTTAACCAGTTTGTTTTTTTCTCCACCAAACATTCAGATATGAATGTGTTGTTAGATCAGTACTGGGGTATAAAATAGTCTTTTGTCTTTGTTATACATGCCACTTTATTACATCACTTTATATTTCATTGAAAGCAGCAAACCAAATCCCAACCAAATATCCACAAGCAATGGTAAGCCTGGCACTGTGAACGGAGCTGTGGGGACCACATTCCAGCCACAGAATCCTCTTTTGGGGCGAGCCTGTGAGAGCTGCTATGGTAAGTCTTCTCCAGCAGGGCTGTCTTTTCTGGCTTGGGGCCTGCCTTGGATCAAGTGCAGTGACACACAGTTATTTGTGCAATGTGGGGCAGGGGAGGGGAGCGGGTCCTGCATGGAGGGCAGAGTAGTGAAGAGTAAAGAGAAGCCCACCTCACCTGCACCTGGACATAACTACTTTGGCATGGTGTTTCCTTTGCCACCTGGGGGTCCTTTGGAGGCCTATGCTTGTTGGCTATCCCGAGGCAGCAGTTTTAGTCTGCTGTCAGTTGTTTTTGTCAGCTTTTGGTCTGCTGTGTCATGAAATATACCAAAAGCCCTGTTAGTGTGTCATGTTATACTGTGACAACTTAGCGACTCCATATAATTCTTTGTAGGAAAGACCTGAGTGTGGACAAACTGCTTTGCGTCATCTCAGCCCAGGTTCTCTTAGGCACCAGTTTAGGGACTACTGTTTCGTGATACTTGCTTTTGGCCTCAGGGCCCCTGTGTATTTGTTCATGTCAGAGACCTACCAGAGGTGGATGGTGTTTTTTATATTTGCCCTCAGTGTTAAATTGAGTTGGGGAGGTCAACTATTAGGTAGTTTATATACCTTTTATGCTTATTTAAAAGGTCACATTATATATAAGGTCCCTTACTTATTGGTGATATTATCAGCCATGCTTCCTTCTTATCAACGTGGCTTGCTTGAGTGGAAAACTGGAAAATGGAAGGAAAGTTCAACAAAAGTCTGCCTGGTGCCGGTTTTTGTCTCTCAGCAGCTCTTTGGGGTGGAGGTGGCCTGTTGCCCTAACACCTAGGGATTAGGGAAGTTTGCCACTTTGCTCCTTACTGCACACCAGCCCTAAGCATTAGAAAAGGCTTTTAAAACCAAATCACCTAATTATCTCTCCTGAAACCAGGGAAGGTGTGAGCCAGAGAATTACTGGCTTGATAGAAATGGTATCTACCTAACCACCCTCTACATCATGGGGTCACAAATGGAAATAGTTTGTGGAAAATTAGATTCTTTTTGTCAAGACTTTATATAGCTCACATCATAAAAGTCTTTGAATTGGAAATTCTTAAAAGATTTCGAAGTACATGTATAGCTAAATAAAAATAAAAAGAATCCTATAGATAAATTTTTATTTTTGATCTACAAACCCCTTTTAGGCTCTAATGTACTTCCACATATCTTTAAATAACCAGTCATTTTTATGTGTGCATGACAAATAAGCAGTATTTTATAATATTTTAGGTCTCTATATTAAATAATCTATAATAAAATATACCTTAATAAACAAATAAAACTTAATCTTTGTAGAAAGACAGAATTTGGTGTTTTCCATTTGTTACTTTATAGCTGACTGTGAGTTAATTATGTAACAAACACGTTTGTCACCATTTTTAAATCATGAGAAGAAAGGTCTTCAGGCTGCAGTTTACAAGGAACCCCCCTCACCCACCTCCGGCTCCCCCTTCCCCCGAAATAACACCTAATGGTATAAGATGTGCAGTATTATTCTCCACAAACTAAAAGGCAGTGTGATAATCATGGCCACTGTATTTCCTCTCCCTGAGATTGGTTTGTGAAGTATTAATGCCTTGATGTGCTAACTGAACATCTTGAACTGAGAAAGCTAACTTACAAATCCAAGGGAAGAATATTTTCCAAGGCTAATTTATAGAACTACAATGATTTATGTATCTCATTAACTTAATGTTTCAACGTGAGTGTTTTCTGTCTTAAACTTCAGATACATGGTGGGACTTTAGATGCTATATGACAGTAATTTACGCTGCAGAACAAAACCAACCCAGGTTTGCAGTATTTTGCAAAGTGATAAATCAACTGTATCATTAGGTTTTAAGCATGCTGTGAGCTCAGCTGTGCAGGGCTGACTCGATGTGGACTTCCAGTCTTGAAAGGGATTCTGTTTTTTAAGGGAAAATATTAAAATAATCATTTTGTCTTTTGACTAAAGTAAAGGAATGGAAAGCAGATATATGTGTGTGTGTATGTATGTATGTATATACAAATCCAAGGGAAGAATATTTTCCAAGGCATATGTGTGTGTGTGTGTGTGTGTGTGTGTGTGTGTGTATGTATGTATGTGTGTATATACTTGTTTCTGTCTGATTCTTGTCTTTATCAGTAGGGCCCGTTTGAATCATGGGTTTGGAAACCTGGTGGTAGACTTTATTTCTGGAAATTTACAAAATAGAAAACATTTTAAATTAATAAGATCTCCCTTTGCAGCACAACACGTAATTCAGGATGTTTCACCTACTGCACTCAAGATGTAGATGGAAATGACTTCATGAATTCTGAGTCTTGGAAAATCTACATATATATAAAAAATATGTTTGGTTATATGTATATTTCAACTATAACACTATTTGCTTTTTTCCTATATCTATAGCTACACAGTCTCATCAGTGGTATTCTTGGGGACCCCCCAACATGCAGTGTAGATTATGTGCAACCTGTTGGCTTTATTGGAAAAAATACGGAGGCCTGAAAATGCCCACCCAGTCAGAAGAAGAGAAGTTGTCTCCCAGCCCAACTACAGAGGTACACAAGCAGTAGTTTGGTTTTTGTTGTTGTTTGTTTGTTTGTTTTGGTGGGTATAGAGAAATGCCGTGTTTTTCAATGGTTAGATTACTCCTTGAAAGCCAGAAGTACAGTCTGGGTTAGTTTAAAAACAAAGCTATTGTTATAGCTAAACATAGGACCACAATATTGTGGTGATGGAGAGTAGCACAGGAACAAATAAAAAATTTTCAGGTATTCAAAATATTGATCTTGTGAGATATTCAGACAAAAGGAGAGCAGTGTGTGTAGGAGGTGTTAGCCTAAGTAGAGAACGTCAGAATTAAATGTTTGTGTTAAGTGCTTTTTTGAAAACAGGTTGCAACTTTTAGACACTGTTGGAAAATATGTCATATGTAAAGTAATAGATACAAATTGAGCATCTTTTCTGCCTCAGGGCTGTCATAGGAGAGGCTGGAAGGTATGGGCTCAGTCCAGAAGTGAATAACAGGTGAAATGTGATTTTGGTAAAATTCTGAGAGATCAAAGACACCAGGCACCTTTCTCCCTGGACAGGCTATTTTTGAATACTAAACTGATCTCAGGATTCCTTTGACATTAGAAAAATTTTAAGTAGTAATATTAACCCCCTTAGTGATGCTTGCTTTTATTTCTTTTTAAGGTTTTGCTGTTGTGATCATGATTTTGGGCTGCTAGGCTTAATTTAAAAACAGAAGCGTGTGATCACGTCCCCTTCCTCCCAGTCTCTTCCCATACCCCCTTCTCCTTCCCAGTAGTACCACGCACTGTTTGGAAAACATGGTGTTGGATTCGATATAGGGGCTTCAGCAGAAGGTTTCAAACTGCATTTTTCATTGAGGGTGATGCAAGCAGGGCTGCTGTTTCGACAGGTTCTCCTCTTTACCTGTTTGTTGCTGCCTGTTTTGCAGGACTCCCGTGTTAGAAGTCACATGTCCCGCCAGGCCATGCAGGGAATGCCGGTCCGAAACACCGGGAGCCCAAAATCTGCTGTGAAGACCCGCCAAGCTTTCTTCCTTCACACTACATATTTCACAAAATTTGCTCGTCAGGTCTGCAAAAATACCCTCCGGCTGCGGCAGGCAGCAAGACGGCCGTTTGTTCCTATTAATTATGCTGCCATTAGGGCAGAATGTAAGATGCTTTTAAATTCTTAACCTTATGTGTTGTGCTTCTGACCATTTTCTTTCTTTCCCTCTCTCTCATTTTTGTTTTTGTTTGCAATAAACATAAGTTCTTGTGTACAGCCTTTTATTTGTTTTTTTTTTTTAACATTGTTTTTGTCTGCTGCCATTTGTATCATGCCAACCTGAAAGAAAACACTGAGACTTCTGCAGTCTTTATGAAAGAGTAGTGCTCACCAAGAAGCTGATGGGAGGTACTGCTGCCCAGCAGGGTTCTGTGATGGAGTTGCTGACAGCCCTCATCGAGGCGTTTTTACCTTCCTGAGGGGTATCACCCCTCAGGAGGGAAACCCATAATTGACACCTGCAGTTCAATCTTACATGAATTCTTTAGGTTTAAATAAAAGTTGCCAATTTGCACTAATAAGAAATTGTATGTCTTTGTAAATCTTTTATTTTTTCACAAACCTTTTACAATTATACAGTATTAAGGAAATTCACAGTGCTTTATCACAAATATTGCATTTATTGGAAGATTTAAGAAATTATAATGAAATTAGAAGTCTTTTGGGTGAGTTTTTGAAAATGCATATTTTTACCAAAGTGTCCAAAAATATGGGTTGAGCATTCTTTCTATTTGTCCAATTTGGTTTCCATTTCATAATCATATTATCATAAATATTATAACATTTATGTGACTTTTTTACTCTCATTTTCAACACATTCAGTCTTGCTTATGTTTCATTTTGTTGTTGTTGTTAGAACAAAGGTCATATGTGCCAAGAAGTTGTGGATTATTTCATAATTATATTCCCCTAAAACTCTTCATGAATTCTGTGTTAACTGTGATTATAGTCTTGATACATTCCTGGCTACAGTGTTGGCATGCCACCAAATTTTTGCCCTTTAAAGAATAAGAAAATGTGTCACCTGACTGAACAGATAGGGAATCCTAGATTCATTCAGTAGATGATTTTCCTTGTGAGGTAATAATCTTCTTGTTATGAGCCATCCCATTTTCATTTAAAGAGGAGATCCGTGAAAGAGGAGGAATGATGAATACTTTTTGTTCCTAAGGATAATTTTCAGCAGAACATTTGAAAGGCTTTGAAACTTACAGGTAAAAGCTTTACAAGAAAAGTACTTTAAAAGAACAAAAATTGCTATTAATCTTTGAGTCCCACAGATGGGAATTCAGCTACAGTAGATTCTTGTATATTTGAGAACTTTGTCTTACAGTAAGCTTTCACAGGTTTCTGTTTCCCCTTTCTTACCCATTTCAAGGAATTGGAAAATATTTATGTTCATCTAAACTGCTTAGTTCATTTGAAACACATTTTATACATAATTTCTTAAATGAAAAGGATAAAGCATTTGAGAAAGAAAATGAATGAAATTTTTCCATGAAATTTGGCCAGAATCCAGGATCATCTTTGTTCCTATGAATGGAAAAGAAACCATCTCAGTCTGAATTGGTTGCTGGGGAAGCTTCTGTTTCCCCTGGCTATTCTGCTAGTTTCTGATTTGCAGATTGTTTTTGATTACTCTTCAAAGAAGTGTATCTTTCAGTTGCCTCGTTTTAAATTTTTTCTCAATTGGTGTTATGCTGCTCTAAAAAAGACTCAAAATTAAATCACCTGCATATAGTTTCTACAAACAGATAATAAAAGAGTTCAATCATTTACTGTGATCAGATTGGGAGAGTATATTTTATACTTACCTTAATTGGTCAAGTTACAGATTTACATCGAGATTTAAATAGCTTGAGCAGCCTCTCCCTCTCCCCTCTCCTCCTCCTCCCACCCCCCCCCAAGATAACTAGACCTTTTCCTAGCATGTAATTCTGTCATCATTTCCTTTCTTAGATGAAACTTGTTACCCTCAGCAGATCCTTTCACCTTGGCTTGTTAGTTCTGTACCGGGAGAGAGTGGATAGGTGTTTCTGTTTATTTTGTAAGCTCTTCTTGGGTTTCAAAAGGTGCTGGTGACCCCTTCCACTGGTATCCCAGATTAATCACTATGAATCATTAGGTATGTAATTTCAGATCAGATGAAAGTTTGTAATTTTTAGGTACTGGTGGATCAAGAGTGCCAATTGCGGCATTTTAGAATAATTTCTTGTAGTATTGGGACAGAAACATCATTTCCCCCTATAACTGTGAGACTGTTGTGAGCATTATAGAAGTTAATCCTTTGCCCCTGGGCAGCACTGACACAGGCAGTTATTTTATGGCCTTGGTTTATGAGATGACAGATCATGGTAACAAGAAGTGAGGTGCCAAGGAGAGAAACTCAGATGGGCAGAACATAAGCTGAACTGAGTGAATACTAAAAAATTTACCCTTGGTCAGGGAGATGTTTTGATTGATTATACCAATACTCTGGCTTTTATTTTCATTGAAAAGTTGGCAGTGAGAAAGGAATGTTAGAGTAATCTGTTTTTATATGTATGTAATACCAAGGAAGGTAAAAAATAATGGCATTTGTGAGATGGGAAGCTGGGGGAAAAGGGTTGGAAGGAGACATGACTGAGCATAGTAAATGCCTTTAGTTTTGAATCATGAGAAGAGCTTGCCTATTTGTAAAAAATAATTTAAAGCTGAAATAAGTATATAATGTGGCCAACATGTTTAAAAATACTGCAAGTACCTACATATGAGATATATATGTGTGTGAAAAATTATTTGGAAAATTAATTTTCCCAAATACCTACTTTAATTTGGCTTTATATGTGAATACATGTCCATACTAAATGTATTAGTAGTATGCCTGTTCTACCACATAGGTAGTGCTCATTGAAAGTGGATTGACAGACTGAAAACTAAAACATTGCACAAAGAGGTACCTAGTTTACAACCTAATGGCATGATTATTAACTGACCAAGTTTTAGAGAACCTGTCTTTTCTCCCCCTGTGACTCTCTGAGAATTCCAGAAGCCATGATGTGGTAATGGTGGTCCTCATTTGTTCTGTCAGACACCACTGAGTTACCAAGATGATGTCATCCAAGAGCTGTAGTCACTTGACACCATACGATTACTATTTAAGACTTAAACGGTATTGGGAAAGGAGCATCATTTTTTCCTGTAATTATGAGGCTCTTGAGAGCATTATAGAAGTTGATCCTTTAGTGACATTGGCTTCTGGGCAACACCATCACAGCCAGTATTTTAGGACCTCAGTTTAAGAGCCTCAGAGGGGAAAGTTAAGTAGAAGGAGTATTAGCAGTCTTCCATACATAGATGAAGCCCAAGTGCCTAGAGAAGTGGATTGAGCTGACATACCTGCCATCTTTGTGCTTACATGGGTAATTAAGTGGCTTCTGAGTTGAAAACCAGACTTGAATGACAGCAGCAGAATCCCCAATCTGAAGTTCTCCCAGAGGCATTTTTTTTATTATCTTAATTCATCTTCCTGAGTATCTCAAAACTTTATACGAAAATGTTCTCAGTTTTTCTAGAGATTTCTCAGCAAGTTGTTATTATACATACTTTGTAAAAGAGCCTTAGGAGAAAATTGTTTTTGACTGCTTTTAATACTTTTGGTAGGTTTTTTTAAATAAAGATTGTTTTTGATGGGCTACATGACATTTTTCTAACACAAAGATGGTGACAAATCTCATCTCCATTCTCATTCTTAATTTACTCTCTATAGAGTTGACTATTGTCATTAGTGTCTATGGTAGACAAATTCTGTGTAAAGCAAATCTGAGTAGGTGTATTTTTGGCTTTTATATAGTTATTAATGTCTGTTCTGTACTTTGCACTTTTGACCTAATATATTTGAAGGCCATTCTATACCAGTCCATAGAAAGAGAACCTCCTTTTTACATCAGCTACACAATACTTCTGTACTTTAACAGTGCCCTATTAGACGTTGTTCCAGTGATTTTTAATCATTTTCTATTATAAATAACATTGCAATAAATATCCTTATGCAGATTTCATGCAGATATATGAATAAAAATTAAAAAATAAAACATCTGGGCCAGGGAAGAAGAATTTGGAATTTGGATAGTCACTACTCACTTGCCCTCAGAAAAACTTAAAAATTTACACACGTGTGCCCAATTCTCTAGGACCTTGGTAGCAAGATCTGTCTTTGAAAATCAGGACTAGTTGACAGTGTGCCCAATTCTCTAGGACCTTGGTAGCAAGATCTGTCTTTGAAAATCAGGACTAGTTGACAGGTGTCAATGTAAGTTATGTTAGCTTGAATTTCTCATTTTGAATGAGAGAAATCTTTGCATCTTTTTGAAAACCGTTTGTATTTTCATCAGTCGAATGTTTTCATTCCCTGACCTGCCTGTTTTCTGATAGAAGTTTTATTGACTTTTGGGAACTTATATTTCAAGGAAGTTAGCTCTTGATCTGTGATATGTGATGCCAGTATGTCCCTCCATTGTCATTAACTTCATAATGTATTTGCTAAGCAGAGTTTTACAAATAATGTAGTTGAATTTGTTATTTTTTGTGGTACCTAAGTTTTATGCCTCATAGAGTTTCTTTAAGAAAATTTCATGGTTTCATTTTGACAGCCATCATGAAAGTCCATGAGATACTTTTGTGAATTTTAGTCTAGTGTGTAATTTTTCTATTTCATTTTCTCTCCTAATATTTCTAAGACATTTTAGAAAAGTTGGTTGTGAATTGCAATAAAAGCAGCCGTGTTTTTCTAAGTTTACCTCAAGGAGGTGTATATTGTCCTCTAGGAGGCCAGAGACAGGCATGCCTGAGACTGAAAGAGATGCAGATGTTTTCCCGCTCTCTAAGCAGGTTTTGATTCCTTCCGGGTTCCTTGGGCCTTTCTCAGGTTGCTGTCTGTGCACTTTGAATGAATACTAATGGATTATTGCTGCTGAAAGAGATTCGATGAATAATTTGAGAGAATGACTGACAAGAAACAATCGCTTTCAGTCATTCTTTGGTCTGATTTTGAATGCAGACCAAATTTTGTAAACCTCAAGTGTGGGCCTGATAATCCTTTGTTTATGATCATCCCCTGGGAACAGGATATATTTCTCTTGTATTCACTGTATGTAATTAATAGCTGCATTTTGGTGTTAAATGGTTACTGGGTATTTTTAGCACCTTTCACCCTCATGTCTTAGTTGAGACTGGTAATTCTTACCACCATTTTCTTTAAAATGAAACTTACTGAAATAGAAATTTTTTATAAAGAGCTTTGATCTCCCACTCAGATGCTCTGTAAATTGTTATTTTGCAACATCCCATCATTAATCTCATTAATGAGAGATTAAGAGCAGAGTAGCATAGTTCAAAATGAAAAATATTGAATATGGCATTGGTGGCCCTCTGATGGATTTATTGATGCACGGTGGCATGGAAGTCTGTCAGTTGCAGCACTTTGGCAATTTTCCTTTGGGCCTTACAACAGATATAAAGTTAATAAAGGGTAAAGGTACAAAGGGCAAAGTTAATCTTACTACTGCTAATAAAACAATTGTGTTGTCTAAAACATTGAAGAAATAATGGATAGTCTATTCAAGCGGAATTTTATTAATAAAAGATGATTTTTCATCCTCATCCCAAATAGAACTTGAAGTTCAGGTGACTTAGTAATATCAGGAAGGAATTGTTTAGTATTAACTGACAGTAATTTGACAGGTGTCTGATCCTTGCAGGGTTCAAGCTACTTTCTAATCTTTCTTTGGATTGTGTCTCCAAAAGATGCTTGTTATGGTTGTCCCTGTATTTTCACTATTATTCAACAACTGGTGATAAGCTTCAAGGCTTAGTAACTTTTTCCCCCCAAAGGCAGTCATCTGAGTAGAAGGAAAAGAAATTGAATCATTTATAGTTGTCAGTAGTTGCATAGTAATTAGCCAGTGCTTGTGATACATATATAGATTCTTATGTTGCTTGGTCTGTTTTAATATTTTTCAAATGTTGTTTTCTCAACGTTTTCTGCTTAGTTCTTATTAGAAAAGGGTTTTCTTGGTAAAAGAAAATGTTAGAGCTTATGAGAAAGTTGACTAAATTATTTGAGGCTCTTGATTGAGCTGTACACTTTTAACACTAATAGAGAATTTCTGCTGCCAAAGGGAATTTCCAGTGTGTATGCCAGAAAATATGGTCTCAGTCTCTGTGAAAGGACAGAATCTTCAGTGGAATCAGGAAACCTCTGGGATCTCTTTGTAAAATATGTGAAGATGGGGAAAGGCATAAATGTAGCAACTTTCCTGTTAAAAGTTACTCTCAAGCTTTATGGATTTATCTGCAAATTTAAATATTTCAATATGCACTTTATTTTGTCCTTTCAAATTCTCTATTTAAAAATTAATTCTTCATTATGAGATGCAGCCATGTTCCTCTTTCTTCCATCCTAATGACAGCTAATTAAAATTCAGGGAGTGTTTGTGTCCTATGCTTTATTTTTTTCCTTTCTGCTTAATGGTAGGATATGAGGAGTATAATGTGAATTTTTATGAGGTAGTATCCATCAGAGTATCTTATTATTCTGACTGTTGGATGAAATAGGCTGTATACAGATAACTTTAAACTTCAGCACTAGTGACATCACAGGATAGGTAGATTAAACAAACGGTGATGAAACCAAGTAGCCCATTTTTACCCTTGTGAAGCTCTAGTCTAGCTGAATTCAGTTTCACCAAGATAAAGACTTCTCAGTGGAGACCCATGCCATCTGTCTGGTGACCAACTGTACTGCCTTGTCAGTTCTTATTTTTGTCTTCTGTGAAGGCTAATCTTAACATTAGGATTGAAACCTCCATGTGTGTTTCAGAGAAAGCCTACTATCTTGTAGAAATGCCCCCGCTAGAAAGGAGATATCTTCCCATTGCTTCCAGGTGGGCACACATGAAAAGAAAGCATGTAGATGTAAGATGTGTACTAGTGCACTTATGGTGGGCTTTGAAGTGAGTACTCTCCAGATGAATCCCTCATCCACTAATCTGAAACCAGGAATAGAAATGGTTTTCTCAAGTCCCACAGAAGTTATGCAGGAATCTGGTGGGTATTTTGTACAGTTTTCCATGTACAACTTTTTTTCTGCCATGTGTGGAGTGTTGGTAAAGAAATCAGCCTCACTGGTTGTCTCCATGTTTCTTTCTCTCCTCAGATGCAGACAGACATGCCGAACTGTCTGGAAGTCCTCTGAAAAGCAAAAGCACTAGGAAACCTTTGGCATGTATCATTGGGTATTTAGGTGGGTATTTTCTAATAAAGGAAAAAATAGTTTCTGTATCTTATAAATACTTGATTATTCTAAATGGACTTATCTAAACTACATTCAAATATTTCAAATAGATGAAATTATGGGTTTACCTACACATACTTGGATAAAAATATGTATTTATGAATATAAGTTCAGACAGATAAGCAAAAAGAGGAAAAACACCAAATTAGAAATGAGCAGTCAATATCTTGACTTGGAGCCTTCCATGATTTCTAACCCACTTTGCCTCTTCCCTTAAATAGAGAAGGATTGACTGGTTAATTTCCTTTAAAAAAAAATCATAAAACTGAAGAAAAAATTTTTTTTTGCCTTTAAAGAAGTATGTATAGTTTTGATGTGTCAATTAAGTGTATTTTAAAAGGGAGCATTTGTATTGCATTCTGATTTTGTTATTTAACTTGGTGTATCATCAGAGACAATGCTTCTGTTTGTATGGTGAAATATTGCAATTAAAAACAGTGTAAATATTACCAAGCAGTAACCTTTTTACTATAATTTTAAGAAAAACAGCTTATAAAATAACAATGCCTAATATACTTTGAAGCTATAATGATGTGTTTTTGTACTTCTGATATTCTTACTTTTTCATTTTCCTAGTAAAAGTGAAATATGTGCTCAGAGTTGCATTGAACCTTATTGCTCTGTCAGAAAGATTTGTAGTTATGAAATATTCCGACTTTAAACATGTAGCCTTTTAAAAATCAAAGGGTAGCCTTGAACTTGGTATACTATTTGGTTCTCAGAGCATTGTAAGAATCAGAGGCTCAGAGCTCCTCCTGTGATGTCCCTCTGCCATCTTGTTTCTTGTTTTATTCCTTAGGGGCTAAAGGTTGCTGTGATAGTCCCTAGAAATGTCACTCATTATCACAGCCTACCCCAAGTCATGGTGCTGAAGCCTTATAGTTTGTTGCCTGTATCCCTTGCAGGACCTAATCCTAGAAGCCTTTTGGAAGGGAGAATTTCTGATTTTTTTTTTTTTTTAAAAAAGGGAATGTAGCATTGCATATTAGTCAGTCTTTCCATGAATCGTGAGTTCCCTCTGTCCTGTCCTGCCCTTGCCAGACGAGCCCCAAGCTGCGTACTCCCCATTAACTGAGCCACATCTGTACATCACATATTCTGAGTCTTCACTCTACAGGACATTGTGCTTAATGATTTAGGGACTTAGGGCTCTTGAGTCCTTGCTCTCAAAAAAATCTTAGTCTTTTGGGGAAAACATAGATGAGGATTAGATCCCACCAAAGAATTATAGGTAGAATGGACTGGGTACATTCTGATGAGTGTTAGGGCAACTAAGTGAAAAAAGGAATATTTGATCTCATTCTTGAGAGTATGAGTATTTGAACTGGTAGAAAAATAGGAAAGGAATATCCCCTTAGGATGAACAAAGATCTCAGTACCCAAGGACCTGAAGGCAAATTGTCTAGTCTAGATGGAGCAGAGAGTCTAGAGGTTATAATGAAAAATGAGGCTGGCAAATCATCAGTGTCACTTGGGGGGGCGGGGATCACCTCTATTTTGGTTAGTACTTGATCCATGCTTATATTTTGGCAAATGTAGGATTTTAATCAGGCTGAGATGTAGTTATTCCAAAATTGAGTTCCTAAATTTCAACAAACGAGACTAGAATCCTGGTGGTCACCTGAGGAGACAGGACCCTTGTGCTGGTGTTTTGCATGCTGGGTAATGACCCTGAGAGTCAGCGAGCAAGGTGGGTCTCAGAGAAGAGGTTACTGAACTCCCTAAGTCCAGTTCCCACAGTACAGCTGTTCCCATCCCTACACTGTGCAGAAAGTGTCGTTCTGGGCTAGGTGACTGATAATACCCTTCACTTTGCCACGCACTGGCCACCTGAGCCTAACAGATGTGTGATCCTCCACCCGAGCTTTTCGTGCACGGCCTCGGACTCAAGCATCTTGAGTTTGCTGTCAGATTTTGTCTGCATCAGAATGCTCTGGAATAGGAGTGAGTGACCCTGGCCCCATACCCTGGTGGCAGTGACAGGAGGGATCCTCTTTCTCACACAACAGACATGCACAATCTGTTTTCCTGGTTTAATAAGACTACAGAGGTGTCTTTCTCCAAGGCATCTCAGTAGCTAACCTTTGCATGCCTAATACCTTGAAGAGTCAGGTGTCTTACTCGTAGTAAAACCTGGTATTGAAGCAACCTTCTGAAGTAGTCTCTCTCCACCCCACCCCCCCACCTTTGTATTCACAACATGGGGCATAGCTCCAGCTAGCAGGAGAGCCAGCTCACTTTTGATAAGCAAAGGCCATGGTAACAGCCCTTGAAGCTGATTCATTATGCAAGTCCTTGAGAAAACAGGCTGGCTCATGAGGAATTGACTCTCATTAAAAATGAGATGTGTGCCTATTAGCGAACGTGAGCGTGCACAGAGATTTTTAATGCCATGTTCTGAGTTGAGAAACCTTTTTTTCCCCTGTCAGAGATTCATCCTTCCAAGAAACCTAATATAATTCGATCTGCACCAAGCCTGCAAACCCCAGCTACCAAGCGGATGCTAACTACCCCGAATCACACGTCTCTGAGCATTTTGGGGAAAAGAAACTACAGTCATCACAACGGCCTGGATGGTATGTAAGCCCAGGAATTCCGGGGCTGTTCCGAAGAGCCAGAACGTCTTTGCCCTTGCTGGCACCAGAGTGTTCTCTGCCAGGTTCCAGAATATATAACAAATGGGTTCTCTAATCCCATGTGGAACTAAGTGTGTGCTACGTGGAGTGGGAGAGAAGGCTGCCAGTGCTACAGTGAAGCTCTTTTGCCAAGTGTTATTTCTTCCTCTCGTTGGGGGACCTTTTTGCTCACACTCCTGTTGGGAGGGTTGTTTGGAGATGAAGCCTGCATTTTGCAGGTTGCCTCTGCTGGGTAATAATGTTCTTGCTGCGATGCCTTCTCGCTGCTCTTTTATGTTTTTATGAGCAGAAGGGATTATGCTTATGTCTGAGAGAGCAGTGCTCTCTAGGGGTGTTTCAGTGTTCAGTGGATCATTTTGAATCTGGCATTTGTCCCCTACTTCTTTTACCTTACGATCTTTTTAATTACCCAAGAGTGTAACAATTCATGAAAGGAATGGCCTGAGTGATGTCCTAACAGAAATAATAATTTATTTGGAATGGGAAACTGAGAAATGTCACCTCTTATCCAAAGTACTTCTCCTGGGCTTGGCCACATAATGCCTCTTCAGGTAAAATTGAATTATCTTCCCATTTGGACTGTAAGCACAAACATAATCAAGTATCCTCACTATTTCTGTTAACACTCATATATATCTATCTGTCTGCACCCACACACACATATATATTCCCATAGTCCTGGAGTTTGAAGTTTTCTTGATTGTTTAAATGTTGGCTTTTGCTTATAAATAAAACTCTCTCCAGCTTTCATGTCTTGTGGAACTCTAGATTCCTTCAGTGGCAGTAAATTATTAATAATGAGACCCTAGAGCAAGGATGTGGAATAAGTAACAGTTTCCCGGGGTAGTTTTCCTTCAGCATCATTTTTGATGGTCATAGTATTGTCATAATGAGTAAAAGATTAAATATAAGAGTTTAGTTTGCATTTGTAGCATAGCAATTTATTAAAGACAGTGGCTTTAGCTGCATTGTAGGCCTGTAGAAACACTTCCTTGCTCCTGAGAACATTGGCCCTCCTTGCCTCGATGTGCTTTATGTCCAGAGAGCAGAAGACCAAGGAACATGGCAGAACATGTCTTTTCCTTGCCCATAGTTTGGGACCTTTCGATTCAGGGTTAAAGGGAATCGGGAATCTTTCTTTCCCATCTCATCAGCACCCTGGCAGCTCCAGACATAGTCATACTGCAGAAAACTTAAAAGTAAACTCTAGGAAATGAAATGAATTGAAACTTAACTATCTGAACATACACACTTTATAGTGCAAAGACTTATTGTGACCGATGCTGGAATCGCTACTTTCTGATATCTTCGACTTGCATCTCATGTCCTGACCCTGCACCTAGCTCCCCTTGCTCTTGTATCACAGTTAGCCTATCTCCATGGAATTCTAAAGAACGTAGTATTCCTCTACTTGGGCTGTTGACTTATTCCATCTGATTGAATGCTGCTGTGAGGTCATTACTTCTCTGCTCTGCAAAAGAGGAGTGGACGGGGCATACAGTGAATCCTGGTGTTATGTTGCATGAGATCTCCACTCTTGTTGAGGAAAAGACACGTCTCATTTTCTGAAGAGTCCTAGCTGTTGAAACATTTCTTTCATCCAGACACATTTATCTTTGTTCTGACATGGTATTCAGAGGAAGACTGATGACAAGTTCCTTACATGAGTTATCTCATTTGATTCACATGGCAGAAGCTTCTAGGTCATGGAATTTGACAGTTTGGTGTAACAGTACACTACTGCCTGGTACAGTGCCTGGAACTTAGTAGATGCTCAGTAAATGTTAAACAAATGAAAATGATTGAGAAAAATGAAACCTAGAGAGATGAACTCTATTTTCCAGTTACCAGTGACAACATGAATGGATCGAGATGCCCAGTCAGATGTAAATCAGAATCTCAGAGTCTCGTTTATACCACTGGTATAAACGAAGTGGTGAGAAACGACATGTATTATTTTACCAGCTAATTTAAGCTAAATCAATGAGACAGATATTGGAGATCAGATTAGGTAACAGTGAGAATGGAGTAGGGGAGAAACAGGAAGCAGCCACCATCTCTAGGGTTGGGAGGACAAGATGAAGGTGGGACTGTTTCAAGTTAGAAGTCCAGGGAGGCCCCCAAGGAGCAGAAACTCAAGAATTTAGACCCCTGGAGAGAGCAGTGCTGTGTGAGGCAGTTCTAGAAGTGGGAAGTGAAGCTGGGACCTGGAAATAAACTCCCGGCTTCTTGGGGTGACCCTAATAGGAACAGGAAGGAGCCAGTCTTGCAGGTTCCTCGGGCAGGTTCCTCCTGCTCTAAGAGGGTCCAGATGGCAGAGGAGAAATGCTTGCAGACTCCATGCCCAGTAACATGAAGCTGACTATAGAGGGATGAATGTGGAGGCAAGAGTGTAGCAGAAACACATATTTTAGAAAATATCCCCACTTTGTACTCACAGTGGACCCTTTGCATGGGATACTGTGTCTGTTTCTTATTTCCTCAGAATATAGGACTCTGACTAATATTTATGAGTATCCAAGGAGAACTTAAGTATCAGCAAAAATATTCATCTAATGGTGAGTTCACCTGGGGTACGAGAGTATACTGTAGATCGTTATTCTTACTTGTCTTCTGCACTGAGTAATCTCGTTTCTCTAAATCTCCTATGAAGAGGATCTCTAATGTGAGTGCCTCTAAGCACAATATTATGATCCATGGAGATAAGATTGTCCTTTTGATGACTTGTTTCTGCAATCAGTGATTCAGCAGCTCCAACTGTTTGCATCCCAACCCTGGGAAATGGGTGGTGGCGAGGGCCATTGTAACAGGGAGAGAGCTCCGGGAATACATCTGCTCTCTTCACAAATCCCAATAAAAATAGACAGCCAGGAACAGCTGATGGCACTCATAGGCATGCTTAGGCCCAGACTGCCTTCTGTTGAAAATTTTATACCATTAAAAAAAAAGCTGATTTAAAAACTTTATCTTAAACAGCTTTTATGGAAGAGCGTCAAGTATTCTTAGACTCGCCCCTGGTCCCCTTGTCTCAAAGCATAATGTCATAACTAAGTTAAATAGTAAAGGTGCCTCTGAGTTCCCGTAGTATTTTATAGTGGGTTATTAAGGCTCCAGAGCTTATTGATCATGAAGCAATTGTAGCAGAGTACCTAATTGTGTCTAGAGAGCTTCAGCGTGGTTGAAGCATCATTTGAGGGCTGTGGGTATCATCTCCTATGGAGGAGACATAGCATTAGAGCCCCCAAGTACATTAGGTATGAGTAGTCAGTAACTTGGTGTTTTGGAATATTCTGGAAAGATGCCAAATTGGCCACCTTGGGACCATTTCTGTTTTTATTAATATTGCAGTTTCTTCCAGAGAACATCTGTCTTGTCCCTCCCTGATGAAAATATTAGTGTATAAACTGAAAGAAGCCCAGATGATTCAAGTCTCTCAGCATATAGACGCCTTAGAAGAATGACAGAAGTTCACGGTAGTTATTCAAGGGTCCTCAGTTGTAAGGACCACCTCTGAGCTCCTTGATAAGTTGACATGCATGGTCATTACAACCGTTACTCCTGCCTATCCCTAGGAAGCCCACTGTCAGAAAAATGCAGAGGGTGAATTCTCTGACTTGAGAGCTGGGTCTAAGTTTTTTATGGGGTAGGTAGATTTTGGGAAAGGAAAGGAAAGACTACAGCAGAGGGAAGTAATGGGTCCTTGAGAACTATTCCTTAAAAGAAGCTTGATTTCATCCATCAAAATACCAGGCACAGGGCCCTCCCCGGTGGCGCAGCAGGTTAGGACACAGCACTGCAAGCTGGCCGCAGCCGCCTCAGTGCATGTTCGATACACACCCCGGAGGTGACCCACATGGCGTGGCAGACCTCTCCTGTCTTGCCCACTGCTCCCCTCAGCAGTGTACTTTATTGATCTGCCTGTTCTGTTCCCCACTCTGTCTCTGATGAAGCCTCTCATTGCCCCTGCACCTCTGACCTGTACCCTAGTTCAGTATAAATGAATGAATGAATGAATGAATGAATGAATGAATGAATGAATGAATGAATGAATGAATGAATAAATAAATAAATCTGTCTTTAAAAAAAAAAATACCAGGCACAGCTGTGATTAAGTCACTGGCACATCAGCATTGGGTCTTTATGCTCCAGGGAAATAAAGACTAAGCCCAGAAACCAATTGAGGTAGACATTCCTCTGAGCAATCTCTTTGAGGAAGTGAGGAGAGGTCTTCTGAATCTGCAGGGCTCCCAGAACAATGGAAATGGTGGGGTTTGTCATGCTTTGGTTGATTTGGGGGCCCCCAGGGTTCTTTTGAAGTTTCCCAGGCATGCTCACTATTTTTTTCTTTCCCTGTTTTCTGTTTTTCCTTCCAGATGACTGAGCACTCTTTAAGCTCATAAAATGTCTCAGTTATGATCTATGCATTTTCCTTCCTCAACCAAATATTTTTTATCAGTGAGTTTTAGCATAGAAATTAATATGAATGGTAAACAATGTGAAACTGAGGCACAAGCTTGAAGGCAATTGCATTAGTTGGAGCAGCTACAGGGGAAGTCTCTCCAGGGTATTCTGACTGCACCTTTATTGAATGTCTGTCAGAGCCCCCTGGGGCCATCAGTTAAGAGTAAGTCCTGTGGAAACAGCAGGCAGATGATAGTCTTAGAGCAGAAAGGAAAAGTTAGGCCAGTAGATCTTCTGCTTCTTGTTTCTCTCCAGTTTTCTTTTTCTGTGTTTTTTTTACTCTACTTTGTGGATGACAAACAGATCTGTTGATTTTTCCATTTAGTCGATTTTGTTTCATGTATTTCAAATTCTGTGATTGAGTATTTATGTCCCTTTGACCATATCACTGTGAAAATATCCTCATTATCTGTTAATACTCATGTCTTGAGATCGTTTTTTTTGTCTGCTATTACTTTGACCACATGCCTTTTCCCCTTGTTTTTAATTTTTAATGATTTTTTTCTAGTTTTATAAAATTTGAAATAGAGTGATTTTAAAAAAATCTATTTAGGCATACAAGAACTGGGGTAAAGACCAGAGGTGCAGGGATAGTCAGAGGTTCATCAGAGACAGAATGGGGAGCAGAACAGGCAGATCGACAGCAATATACTGCTGAGGGGAGCAGTGGGCAGGACACGAGAGATCTGCTGTGCCGTGTGGGTCAGCTGTGGATCGCTTCATAGTGCTGCACTTTAACTAAACCCTTGCACCACCAACGAAGGCCCTGAAACAGAGTGATTCGTAAAATAGCACTAAGCCAACATGTTGTTACAGTACAAGTTTATAAAAACCCTCCAAGGTCATATTCCATGATCATTTGTTTTTAAAATAATTTTTTTTAAAGATTTATTTATTTATTCATACAGAACTGGAGTACAGGACAGAGATGCGGAGGGTGAGAGGCTTCACCAGAGACAGAGTGGGGAGCAGAACAGGCAGATCGATGAAGTACACTGCTGAGGGGAGCAGCGGGCGGGTCAGGAGAGGTCTGCCACGCCATGTGGATCTCCTCCGGGGCAGGCGGGAATCGAACTCATGCGGAAGTAGCTTTTGATTCTTAGTACAGTGCTTTAACCCACTGCGCCACCAGGGAGGGCCCTGTTTTTAAAATAATTTTATTGAGGCATACTTGAGACTTAGTAAGCTATACTTACTTTAAATGTAAAGTTTGTTAACATTCCCATGTATACACAGGGAATCCATTAGCATAAT